ACGAAGCGTTGTACTGGGTGGGTGACAATACAAAATTTGGTGTGTTGGACGCACGCGGGCGGTCCCAGTGGGGCCTTCGGCGGAGCTTCCTTGGGGCCGCGAAGAGCTGTATTGGGCGGGCGAAGCGCAGGGAGGAAGGAGGAAGGGGAGGAGGGAGGAGGGAGGACGGGGAGGAGGAAGGAGTGAGGAACGCGGGGCGCTGTCTTTTCAAAACGAGGACCGGATACCACAGGATGGATGGGAACAAAAATCGTCAAAACATAGCCTGGGGACGATTTTTCGATGATGTTCCCAATGTTTGAGAACATTAGTTTGGTGTATTAGATTTTTTGGCGGCTTGGAAAACAGGGCTCCCGTTCGGCGACTCTGAAGTCGAGCGTGTCCCTCTACATGAGGAGTACTCAACAATAGTCCAGACATATTCTGGGGACGATTTTTCGATTATGTTTCTAATATCTGGGAGCATGTTTTCGATGTCTTTGATTTTTTGGCGGCCTGGAAAACAGGGCTCCCATCGACGACACTGAAGTCAAAGCATAGTCTGGGGACGATCTTTTTCTATGTTCGAATATGTTTGAATATTTGTTTGGCATTTTTTCATTGTGCGCCCACAGTCCGCCTTTAGGGGGACATGCCCGACCTAACGCCAGTAGTCGCACGATGACGGGGGTCCGAGACCTGTTCCCTTCGGGTCTCTCTTTCGGGCCTTGCGAGCGGCAGGATCCCCTTGCTCTCCGACGGTGGTTCGACGCGAGCTCGACGTGAATGTGACGTGGATGTGGCACGGATTCCACACGGGCTCCACGCGTCCGACGTGGATTCGGCACGGGTGCGTTTCATGGCGAGGTCCTCGGGAAGCTCGACATGATGTCGGGCGGCGCTGCGGCGCGCTACAGGGCCGAGGCCGCGGCCAAGCTCGTCTCCAGGGCCGCGGTGCTCGAGGCGTACGAGCGGTGCAGGGCCGATGCCGCGGAGGGCTTCGACCTCGCGAGGGCGGCCCGGCTCGTGGCCGCCGCCGCGGGCGACCACTCCCACGCCGACTGACGCGCGACCACCTCCTCCTCATTCCTCCTCCGTTTCCTCCTCCTCCTCCTCCTCTCCATTTGCACAACCTGAATGCTACTCTCCTCTCTCCCATGATGACGTCCGGAAGGTATGCGGCCTCCCTCCGCGTGCAGCTTTTTCACGGGATTCCCGGAACTGTTCTTCTTTTCAAAATCCTGTTCCAGCTGAAGCGCTGGCCTCTCATTTTCGGGCTTCCGCTCGTTCCGAATCGTGCTCCCTGTGCAGCTCTGGCCTCACTTCCGCGCTTCCGCTCGTTCCGAATCGTGCTCCCGCTGCGGCGCTGGCCTCATTTTCGCGCTTTCGCTCGTCCCGAACCGTGCTCCCGCTGCAGCGTTGGCGTCCTCATTTCTAGTGCCATGACACTGTATTCTGCGGTCCTTCCAAGTAGGCACTAACATATAGAAAAGGCCTTCCGTAAAAACCATCGGAAGTGATTACACATCCAGTGCCGATTCGTTGATTTCTGGGGCCGCAGAAGCCCCTTCCTTCCCACTTTGGGGCGTCGCCACGCCATGCTATGTCATGCTACGCGTTGATCTTCAACACCATGCTGTGCCATGCAATGCTATGCCATGCTGCGACATCCGTTTGTGCGAGCAGAAAGGGGATCTACGCCATGGTAAGGGAAGGGATGGATGGGTAGGACGTCAGGTATGACGCGAGCGCACCCAGCTTGCCCACTCTCCTCTCTCGTCCCTCGCTCCGCCCCCCCTCCATGTCCCTGACCGGCCCCCCTCCTCCCGAGGCGGATCCCGCCACGGCGAAAGGGCGCCCCAGAGGCCCCGAAGCGTCCAAAGACCAGAGGCCTCCATCCTCGATCGTGGGTCCCCCCCCTCTCTCTCCCCCGCTCCTCTTCGTCCTGTTCTTCCCCATCCCCTCCCTCCTCCTCCTCCTCCTCCTCCTCCTCCTCCTCCTCCCTCCTCCTCCTCCTCCTCCTCCTCCTCCTCCTTGTCCTCCTCCTCCCTCCTCCTTCTCCTCCTCCTCCTCCTCCTGCTCCTCCTCCTCCTCCTCCTCCTCCCGTTTTGCGCCCTCCATTGGTTTCCAGATCGGTCCCTCGCGCCTCCTCCCCCTTTCCTCCTCCTCGTTCTCCTCATTTTCCTCCGCGCGCCTTCCTTCTGTTCTTCAATGTATCCCACGCGCGTTCCCGTGCACACACGCCAGGAGAGAATCACTTTCTGAGGTTCTCGGAGTCGCAGGTATGGGGCTCTGATGCCCTTTTCCACCACTGATGGCATCCCCGCTCGGGGGGGGGCACACATGTCTCAGTCCCCTCCCCAGAACACAACGCAGACAAATCATGCTCCAGTTCTTAAAACCTCCAAGGGCCGTTCTCGGACCCCCTGAATGCCAGCCGCAGCCATCCAGAACCAAAAAAAACGGTCTCCGCCTCGAGAGAGTTCCAGGACTTGCGCATGGATCAACTCAGGATCTCGGAGGTCTGAGTTCCCCCCGTTTCTCCTCAACACCTGTCGGGTATGGCCAGGACCCCGGGAAAGGGGACCCGGCTAGTGGTAGGGCCCCGGAGCCTTCGAATTGGCCAGAATCACGAAACCAGGTTTGCCACAGCTGGTGTTTTTTCCGGGTGGCGGCAGTTCCGGTTAGTGGACATGGGACGGGGGGGCGCCCCTGGTACAGATTACAAACCAGGTTCCTCTAAACCCAGCTCTACCAACGCCCGAACCTGACTGAAGACTTGCCTGCAGGAGTGCCAGGCTTTCCTGCAGGGAGGCCGCGGCCTCTCCTCGCGCCGCGCCCGCCGCGCGCGCGCGGGCTCTCGCCCCGATGCGCCTCACGCTGGTGCGGACTGCCTCTGCCTCGCCGCCGACGGCAAAACGTGCGGCGGTTTCCTATTGCCACTTCGCCTCGCTCCTGAATGGGCCTCCATTCGCGTGTGGGCGCCCCTCTTCCGCCTCACTGGCTCGGGCCGGGTCCGCGCTCATTGCCCAGTTCGTGTCGCTGCTGTCGGGAGGAGATCCCCCGCCCCGAAGGCGATGGACTCGTGAGACAGGCCCTCGAGGAGGTGGAAAAGGAGGAGGAGGAGACGGAGGAGAAGGAGGTGGAGGAGGAGGAGGAGGAGGAGGAGCCCCCGTACTGCCTCGGGGGGCCATGGGGGTCGGAGAGCCTAGAGCTGTGGTGCGTGCGGCCAAGCTGCCGAACGGAGTGAACCCCACCCTCCCGAACGGAGTGAACCCCACCCTCCCCCTCAGAAATCGTGGGGGGTAAGGGTAGGGTTCGCATGTTGCCCCCTAAAAACAAGGAGCAGCTCGGGCTCGGCAGGGGCTCGCTGCTCCCTTAGGTCCTACCGGGATTTGCTCCTCCGGCGCCCCTCGTGCACCCGGGGCGCGCTTGGGACCAACATGGGCCTGTGCCCCTCGTGCCGTGCTCCTTGTGGTCGCAGCTTGACTGCATTCAGCCTCGCGCAGAGGGGGGAGGGCAGGAGGGAGGATGGAGGAAGCAGGGAGGAGGGAGGATGGAGTAGGGATGAGGAGGAGAGGGATGGGGCGGAGGTATGAGGGAGGGAGGAGAGGGAGGGAGGGAGGAGGGAGGGATGGAGGGGGAGGGGAGGGAGGTAGGGAGGGAGGTGGAGGGAGGGAGGAGAGGAGGAGGGAGGGAGGGAGAGGGAGGAGGCGAGGAGCTTGAGATCCTGAGGAGGGGGGAGGATGGGAGGGTAGGGGGGTTCAAGGGGGGTGGGGAGGAGGGGGAGGGGGGGAGGCTTCTTAGCAGCACCCCTGCTTCTTGGAAGGCGCGCGCCTCGTCTGTAGATATAAGGCCGGCGCCTTCTAAGAAACAGCCTCCTTCCAAGAAGTGTATCCCCCTCCCCCTGCCCTCTTGTGCGCGCCGCCAATGTATGCCCGCCCTTCCCCTCGGCACCCCAGCCGGGCGACGGTTGTGCCGTTGCTACGGCAGCACGAGTGTACCGGCGATGCCGCGTCCCTCCCTCCTCCCTCCCCACGCTTCTCGGCCCTCCTCCGTGGGTGGCCGCAGTGCGAGCCGATGCTGCAGCATGCAGGGGCTGGGCCTCCATGGGAGGTTCGAGGACGAGCCTGGAAGCAGCCGTGGAGCCAGAGCTGGGACCAGAGGCGAGGGTGGTGGGAAAAGGGAAACCATTTCCCTTCTGTTCATCCTCGTTCTGCATCCTCCCTTTTGCATCCTCCCTCCATCATCCGCCGGTTTGCCTCTCCTCCTTCTATGTCGCCCCTTGTCCTGCTCTTCCGCCTTCCCCTTCTCCTCCGGTCGACCGTTGGATATGTTCCGCGCTCTGTGCTCAAGCGCCCTCGCACGAGAGCCCACGACTGAGGGGAATGCTGCGGTTCTCGGTGCCCATGCTGCACAGCACGTGTTGGCGCCCGTGCTGCACAGCATGCGCGGGAATGTGTCCCAGGGCGTGCACCTGGACGCTGCTTTGATGACGTTCAAGAGGAGGTCGTCTCCAGCTGCAGACAGTACCAGGTGCGTTCGCAGACGTGTCGCGCCCCCTTCGGTGCGAGTCTGAAGTCGGGCATGCCCCTCTACAGGAGGAACCTTCACAAACAAACCGTATGGGGACGTTTTTTTCTCGATTGATTATGCATATGTTAGAGCGTTGCTTGGATCTTGTCTATTCCAAGCAGTGGCGAAGCGTCCTGGGATGCTTGTAGGACCACCAACAAATGTTCTAAGAACCTCGTGTGGTCTCCACGAATTGTTCTTAGACAACTTCTGGCTGGGACTGTCTCCTTTTGACTCATTGGGTTTGTGTTCTCAGAACCTTGTTTTTGTTCTTCGAGCATTTTAAGGTTCGAAGAGCATTTCGTGGTAGGCCTGTAGAAATGCCCGGACGGTCGGTCCCTGCTCAACTATTGTCGTTGACACTCTGCTTCTAGGGGGACATGCCCGACCTAGTGCGAGTCCCGCGCTGCCTCCCCCGCTGCACTGCGGGCGCCAAAGAAAGCCAGGTTCGCACCGAAGCGCTTCAGCATGGCGAGGGCAAGGAGCCGCCCCGCCAGCAGCCCGGCACCCCCGGACGCGCGCGCTGCTCTCAGAGCCTCGGCATCGCTCGGACGTGTGCATTTTTCACCGAGCCCGTTCCACTACTCGCAGAGCGCCTACTCGCAAACGTCCGAAAGACAGCAGATCTGCCTCGATGTCATCTATCGTAAACCCCCCCATGGCGGATCTGGGCCACCTGCGAGTAGGTACTTTGCGGGTGGTGGAACGCGCTGGTCTAATTTGATCGGCGAGGACCATCGAGGAGCATCTTGGTTTATCTCGCGAAGCACAAGCGCACGACGTCGGAGCGTGCACGGGGAACGGACGTCCGAGCGACGGCGAGGAGCGGCTGGCCGCCAAAAGGGGGCGGGGTGGGCCGTGCCACCGTGGCGCCGTCGGTCAGCGGGGGGTGTTCGGCGTGGTTCCCGGCATGTCCGCCGCAGCAGCCGCCGAGAGGGCTAGACAGTACCCAGGTAGGCACACTTTCACGGGCGCAGAACGGTATAACATAAACTTTTTCGCTGTCGGGGGCGCCTGTCCCAGGGCGGCTGGAAAGTTTATACCCTTACGGTGCCACCGTAAGGGTATAAATTTTCCAGCCGCCCAGGGGCAGGTGTCCCCGACGGCGAACAAGTTTATTTTATACCGTTCTTCGCCCGTTAAACACTGAGCACGAGACATCGGCCTTTCAGCAGGTGCCCCACATGAACATATCTGACTCTCCGATGGCACATTGGGGCGCCTCGGGAAGCTCAGAGATCGCCGACCCACGCCCCCCAGAGATCTTTTATCGTGGGGCTTCTCATCGTACGTGTCCAGTAAAGCAATCGCCTCCGTAGCAGGCGCCGCCCACGAAGTCCCTCGGATCGCAGATGCTCAGGAGGGAAAGAAACACACAGACACACTCAATCGTCGACTCCCAGGAAAATATGGGAAAACATGGGCAGTGGGGGGAAAGACAGAAACCCAGAAAATATGGGAAAATATGGGGCATATTTTTATTTGTGTGTATTTATTTGTGTGTCCTGGGGCCCCTTCAATGAAGTCCCTCGGATCGCAGATGCAGGCGAGCCTCAGGACTTTGACCCCTGGACCGAAGCTGCCGCGCCCCACCGACGGCCCGACGCGCCGCGTATGGCTCCCGGTGCGGGTAGGCCAGACAGCAGGAGACGGCGTGCGCATCGGGATCCTCCTGTCTTTGCGCTTGCGTCTGCGCTTCGTCCTGCGACCCCCCCAAAGCCCCTTCCTCCATCCTCCTGCTCCGCCTCCTCCTCCTCCGTCCTCCTCCTCCGTCCTCCTCCTCCTCCGTCCTCCTCCTCCTCCTCCTCCTCCTCCTCCTCCTCGTCCTCCTCCTCCCCCTCCTCCTCTCCCCTGGTACGCTGGGCTCCTCCTCCTCCTCCTCCTCCTCCCCTTTCTCGTCCTCCTCTTCTTCCTCCTCCTTTCTTAGACATGCTGTCGAGCTCGTCAGAGCTCGTAACGTTCTCCTCCTCCTCCTCCTCCTCCTCCTCCTCCTCCTCCTCGTCCTCCGCCTCCTCCTCCCCGTCCTCCTCCTCCTCCTCCTCCTCCTCCTCCTCCTCCTCCTCCTCCTCCTCCCTGTCCTCCTCCTCCTCCTCCTTCTCCTCCTCCTCCTCCTCCTCCTCCTGGGAGTCTGCCCTCCCCAGAGCCTGCCGCCCCCCTGTAACCTTAGACGCTCCGCACTCGGCGCCCGCCAATAGTTCGTCCTCGCGGCGGCTACGGATGGCCACTGAGCAGGACCAGCTCGGCCGCAGAGTAGCAGGGTGAATACCGTAATCCAGAATCCGGAACAAAGTGACAGAACGGCTCTTGCTCTCGGAGAGGCGGAGGCCCTCTGTGACAGAATGGGCCCCCTTCCCGTTCCTCCTTCTCCTATCCCCCTCTTTCTCTTACGCTTCTTCATCATCATACTTGTCCTACATTTCCTCGTCTCCTCTCCTTCTTCTACTTCTCCTGCTTCTCTTACTCATCCTGCGTCTCCTTCCTCCTACGCTTTCCTCCTTCTCCTGCGCTTCTTTCTTCTCCCACTTGACGAGACGTCATGATGCGCCCGTCGGCCCAGTAGGCTGCAGGGTCGAGGGGCTTCGCCAACACCGCCTGGCCTCTCTCTCTCTCTCTCTCGGAGTTCCGAAGACGACCTCCCAGAACAGGCTCCGAAGAATTGTGCGACTACCCTGAGAGCGTTCCCAGCGTGCCCCACGGCGGCCGTCGCTGCGAACTGGGCTCCAGGGGGCCGCGGTAAGCTTCGTGGAGGCCCCGAAGACAGCTCCCAGGGGGGCCCGAACGGCTCCGATGCGGCCTGTAACCAAAACGTAGCGTTAAGTCGGGCGTGTCCTTCTACAGGAGGAATGTTGGAAACATAAGTTGAAAACACATTGTCAAAACATGATTATTCATTTATGTTTGGGCATTTTGATTGTTTGTTGGCTATATGTTTACATTTCGTCTGAAGTCCGCCTTTAGGAGGGCATGCCCGACCTAAGACTTCTGGGATGCTCTCGGCCTCGCGGCGTCCATGGACAATTCAGAGAGTCTGCGTGCTTGCTGCTCGGATACGCTTCATCATCCCTCAATGGTGCGCAGGGCGTGTTGGAGCCACAGCGCGGGACTTTACTTCGGAATGTGTAGAGGTACGACAGGCGTCGGACAGCCTGATCACCACTTCTCATCGCAGAGCAGACTGCCCCGTGAGAGCTCTGGATGTTGGCTTCAACCAATCTACCTGGGTACATAGAACGAGTGAGGCTCCTGATACTGCCTGGTCACCACTTCAGATCCTAGAGCAGACTGCCTCGTGAGAACTCTCGATGTTGGCTTCAACCAGTCTCTGTGAGTACAGAGAACGTGTGAGGCTCCTGATGCTGCAGAATCATATCCAGCGGAACGGTCATGGCACTCAGGTGTGTGTTGTTCAGATTTAATGCAACTGCTTGGCCAGAGGGTAGCTTCGCGACGCAGTCCGAGTGATGCTTCTGTGGTGGGCTGGGACATTCAACCAGGCCTAAGGGCGGCGCAGAATCCATCTTGCGAAGTCGGTGTTTTTCACGTCACGCAGCGGACCTTGGCACGTGTAACACGTGTAAGCGATCACGCGTTGCCAGCCGACACCCAGGCCACAGCGGTGTGTACGATGCGAAGCAGGAGAGGGAGGGAGGAGGAGGGATGTGGCAGGGGGACGCGGAGAAGTGAAGGACGGAGGGAGGTCCGGAGGGAAGGGGGGGGGAGGAGGGATACAGAGAGAGGCGGAGACCGCGAGACCAGAGTCGGAAGCAGGCGCGCCGCCCAGTGGCACGATGGGCGACGACGTTGGCGACGACGACGACGAGCGACGACGACGACGACGACGACGAGGACGACGACGAGGACAGTGACGACGACGACGACGACGACGAGGACGAGGACGAGGACGAGGACGAGGACGAGGACAGTGACGACGACGACGACGACGACGGTGACGAAGACGACGAAGACGACGCGATGCGGGCGCGACGCGAGGCGGGCGCCCCATCCCGCGAGGATCCACGCCGCGCGGTGCCTCACGGGCGGCCGCCGTGTGCTCCCGCCCGCGGGCGAGCAGCTCGACCGCGGCCGCCTCGCGGCCGAGCTGCAGCGCGAGCGCGGCCCCAGGCGCGCGGCCCGCCGCCCTTCGCCCCCCGCCTGGCCCCGAAGGGACTGCATGGACGGCGCGCGGCCCGCCGCCGCCGCCGCCCCCCGCCTGGCCCGCCCGCAAGGGACTGCAGCAGCACGGGGGGCCTCTGCACGGCCCCTGGAGCTGCCACCCCGGGCCCAAAAGGGCGCCTCGGAGGTGCACGCCGGTCGGACGATCTCGGCGAGCTCGTGCTCCTCCTCCTCCTCCTCCTCCTCCTCCTCCTCCTCCTCCTCCGCATCCTCCTCCGCCGCCTCCATTTCCTCCTCCTCTCCTCCGCCTTCTTCGATGTGTCCTTCTTTGTGTGCCGGACCTCGGTCCATGTCCGCGCCTCCTCGAGGCTCGACCCCCCCCCCCTCGGTCGCGAACACCCGAGCCAGAGCGCCCCGCCCTGCTCTCGGAGCCTCCTTGGAGCGCCCCGGAGCGGCCGCGGGCGCCGGCTGCATCCTCCCCAGCTGGGTTGTTGCCAGAAGTGCCCCCTGGCCCCAGGTGCCCCGCGGCCCTCCTGATCACTGGATACTGGGAAAGCCAGTCGCGACCGGCGAGATCGGTCGCTACCGACTTCGCTTCAGATTTCGGCATCGGTCGCGACCGATTTGCTTCAAAATCGGTCGCGACCGATGTGGAGTGCCGATCGGTCGCTACCGGTCGCGACCGAACAATAATCGGTATCCAATGATCTGGGCCTGGCAGCTGTCGGATCCTCGCGAGTCGTGCAACAAATGCGGCGGGAGGCTTTCTTCTCCAATCGGTGCTTGCACTGAAGGGGTCCTAGCGGATATTCAAGGATTTGGCGAAGTTCTGCGCCGATTTCGGTCGGCGGCCGGGTTCCCGGCTTTCCGGTTCTGGGTTGCGGGGTTCCCGTTTCCAGGCTCCGGGCCGATTTCGGTGGGCGGCGGGGTTCCCAGGTTCCCGGGTTCCTGGTCGATCTTCTTATCGATCGGTTCCACCATCGATCTCATTGCCCACCTCGATCTCACCATCGATCTCACTGTCGATTTCATTATCGATCTCAGAAGCGATCTCACTATAGATCGCACGAGTGATCTCACGGTCGATCTCATTATCGATGTACTTGAATCGACTTCACTCTCGGTCTCACGATCGACCTTACAATCGTCCTCATTACCGATCCCACTACCGATCTCACTATCGATTTCGCAATCGATCTCAATATCCATATTAACATCCGCCGCTCTGCGGTTGATCGGGAGTTTCTGTATATATAGAAGAAGGGGCGCGCGCTTCTGGGCGAGAGGGAAACGACCGAGAGAAGAAGGGGCGGCCGCCCCACAGGACCTCTCCATGGTGCCGGAAGCCCATCAGGGCTCCCTCCCTCCCCCAGGGCCGGGGCTCCCTCGCCTGCCCCCTCCCCCTCCTCCTCCTCCTCCTCCTCCTCCTCCTCCTCCTCCTCCTCCTCCCTCCTCCTCCTCCTTCGCCCCCGTCGGCATATCCAGGCGTGTTATGCCGTCAGGTCGTCCGTCCGGAAACGGTGCCGGAGGCCGCTCTGGGCTCCTCTGGGCATCCCCCCCGGGGCCCGTTTTGTGAGGATGTCTCAGGCGAGGGCGCCGGTTTGGGATTCGTCACCGGATCCAGCGGATCCAGCGGATCCAGCGGTCCGGAAACGGTGCCGGAGGCCGCTCTGGGCTCCTCTGGGCATCCCCCCCGGGGCCCGTTTTGTGAGGATGTCTCAGGCGAGGGCGCCGGTTTGGGATTCGTCACCGGATCCAGCGGATCCAGCGGATCCGTCCGGAAACGGTGCCGGAGGCCGCTCTGGGCTCCTCTGGGCATCCCCCCCGGGGCCCGTTTTGTGAGGATGTCTCAGGCGAGGGCGCCGGTTTGGGATTCGTCACCGGATCCAGCGGATCCAGCGGATCCGTCCGGAAACGGTGCCGGAGGCCGCTCTGGGCTCCTCTGGGCATCCCCCCCGGGGCCCGTTTTGTGAGGATGTCTCAGGCGAGGGCGCCGGTTTGGGATTCGTCGGCAGCGGATCCAGCGGATCCGTCCGGAAACGGTGCCGGAGGCCGCTCTGGGCTCCTCTGGGCATCCCCCCCGGGGCCCGTTTTGTGAGGATGTCTCAGGCGAGGGCGCCGGTTTGGGATTCGTCACCGGATCCAGCGGATCCAGCGGATCCGTCCGGAAACGGTGCCGGAGGCCGCTCTGGGCTCCTCTGGGCATCCCCCCCGGGGCCCGTTTTGTGAGGATGTCTCAGGCGAGGGCGCCGGTTTGGGATTCGTCACCGGATCCAGCGGATCCAGCGGATCCGTCCGGAAACGGTGCCGGAGGCCGCTCTGGGCTCCTCTGGGCATCCCCCCCGGGGCCCGTTTTGTGAGGATGTCTCAGGCGAGGGCGCCGGTTTGGGATTCGTCACCGGATCCAGCGGATCCAGCGGATCCGTCCGGAAACGGTGCCGGAGGCCGCTCTGGGCTCCTCTGGGCATCCCCCACGGGGCCCGTTTTGTGAGGATGTCTCAGGCGAGGGCGCCGGTTTGGGATTCGTCAGCGGATCCGTCCGGAAACGGTGCCGGAGGCCGCTCTGGGCTCCTCTGGGCATCCCCCCCGGGGCCCGTTTTGTGAGGATGTCTCAGGCGAGGGCGCCGGTTTGGGATTCGTCGGCGGATCCAGCGGATCCGTCCGGAAACGGTGCCGGAGGCCGCTCTGGGCTCGTGCTCTTCGCGCCAGGGGTGAGGATGACGTGAGTTCCACAGAAACTCCCTCAAATTAATTTTCGAACCATCCAGATCTTAGATGTTTTCTCTGGTGTAACTTGCCTTGTTCGGCCTCTGGGGGCCCTTCCTCGGCCTGGGTGCTGCAAAACTCACCGAGCGCGTTCCACTACTCGCCAAGCGCCTACTCGCAAACGTCAGCAACAAAAACACATGTCTTCCTCTATGGAAGGGATCGAAGTGGCCGCTCGGCCAGCGCGCGCCCGAGCAGAGCAAGCGCAGTGGCCGCTTGGCACGGGCGGTCGGGATAGATCGACTACCAGAGGAGGAAAAGGGTACCCATACCTGTAACCTCCCCCTGTTTCCCTCTTGTTGGGCCTACTGGGCCTCCGTCGTCGCCACCGCTGGATGCGCTTCGAAATCCGGGTCAGAACGCGCCCTGGGAGAGGTCGGGGGAGCAGCGGTATCGGTACCTTTTGGCTTCCCCAGACTGCAAGTGGGGGCGCGCATCAAGAAGCCAGATGCTTTCCGTCAGGGTGTCCCGGGTGTCTTCGCTCCTCGCGCTGACCGGTGGTTTTCCGCGGCCGTTGAGGGAGCTGCTGCGTAAAAGTGCCTTGCCTTCGAGGATAGAATGAGTTGTCATCTCTTCCGCCCAGGAAGGCGGCAGAAGGGTGGCAGAAGGTCGGATGAAGCAAAACGAGGCCGGCGGAAGGCTGCCGGAAGGTGGCGGCAGTGAGTGATGTGCCCCCAAGAGATGAAAACTTTTTTAGGTTCAGGGTTTCCGAACTCGCCCACGCAAGAGTGACCCTGGGCTGGGGTGAGCTTTGGTTCGGGCCCAGGGGGCTCCGCGGATCGCTGAGCGCGGCGCTGTAGCAGCGGCTTGCGCGCCTGGGTTCGGCCACCCCGCGTGCCCCCGTTCAAAGCCGCGCACCGAAGCTCCCTCTTGCCGAGGTCACTCATTAATACGTGTAGCCGATGGCCACTCGGCACGAGCGATCGGCACAGAGCCGACAGCTATTGCCCTTCATTTTGAACAGGGCTCGCGGCCGGTGCCGCCGTGGGCGTTGTCCGCCGGAGGCAGAGGGCCGCCCGCCCAACAGCGGCCGCCGTCGGCGTTCGACTACGCTTCTTGTGGGGCACCGTGCCCGTTGTTCCAGGAGGAGGAGGAGGAGGAGGAGGAGGAGGAGGAGGAGGAGGAGGAGAGGAGGAGGAGGAGGAGGAGGAAGAGGAGGAGGAGGAGGAGGAGGAGGAGGAGGAGGAGGAGGAGGAGGAGGAGGAGGAGGAGGATCAGTTCCTCGGGAGTCTGTCCGTGGCGGGGGCTCGCCGTGGCCGGAGAAGCGCGCCGTGCCGTTCCCTCTTCAGCACTCCCAGTGGTAGCAGCACGATGGCTGTATGAGAGGCGCAGGGCCCGCTGTGCGGGGCCGAGGCAGTCCAATGCCATCGGCAACACCCCAACATACTTATACTATATGTGCGTCGCCCCCCCAGGGGCGACGCGCGCATCGAGAAATCTTATAGCATATGCGTCGTGGCGGGCGCTTTCTGGCCACACCGCTCGAGAAACGATATACTACAAGATGAGTATACTATATGTTCGGGTCGGACGCGCGCCTCCAAGGCGGACACATAGTATTAGTATGTCTCTGTGCATCCCATGCCATGCCATGATCGTTTGGTGGTCGTTGCAGCCGGGCCTGGGGCTGCCAAGACTGGACGACTTCTGCCTTGTGGGTGCCATGCGGCAGTGTGCGCAGCACGCGAGATCACCTCATTGGCGTTGCAGTGCAATCTCACGCGGGCGACAAGGGAGGCTTTGTCTGTCCGGATGGTATGTAGCGAGTAGTGCCGTTCTCGATCATGTGCACTTGTGGAGCCTCCTGTGCGCAAGAGTCGCACAGGCAATCCACGATTGCGCTACTGAGAAGGCCTCGTTGTGTTATATGTTGGACAGCGCGTTCATCTACTGGCGAGTGCGCAAACGCTGCCTGGAGTCACTGCGCGCTTGTCCAGAGAGGATGCCACGCAATGAGGGTGGGCCCGAGGGCGTCGTTCGGAACGCTCGCGCGGTGACCCTCTCGCCAGAATGCGCAAGCACTGCAGCACAGAGCGTCCTCGTCGCCGACGCCCGTCAACCCGCAAGGCTCCCCTCTCCAGAGCTCGAGCTAAACTGTGCTTGGCGATTTCGTGGGCCGGTTTCGTTTCGATTTCGTTTGGCAGCAGGGGCCGAACGAAGGCAACGAGGGAGCACGCAACTCTCACGAGAACGGAAAACACTGCTTAGCTGTAAGTCGGGCGCACGTCCTTCCAGAGGAAGAATACAGTATCATAGAAAAACAATAGTCTGGTGACGATTGTTCGTGCTCTTTGGACTATGTTTGACCATCTGCTGACTTTTTTAATATATATATATATATATATATGTATATAGATTTTTCTTACAGCACCCGCCTGTAGGAGGACATGCCCGACCTGAGCTTAGCTCGCTCCCTGCCCCTCTGCCCCGTCCCTCTGCCCTCTCGTGCTCCCCGGCTCCTCTCGCCGCCTCCTGCCGCCTCCCCCCTCCCTGCCCTGCTGCCTGCTGCTCTCGTCCCTCCTCGGCCTCCTCCCTCCCTCCCTCCCTCCACGTCCCTCCCTCCTCGCCCATCCCGCCAACCTACAATGGAAACCCTTGCCAAGAAACACCCTGCTTGCCTCCAGGGTGCCCTGGGTTGATTACTTGGGTTTCGATGGTCGTGCCGTTGAAAGCGTGACATTCCCACACCGAGAATCAATGGACTTCCTGGGGTCCCAGGGTGCGGCTTCTTGTGGAAGGTTTCTTGTGGACTGGCCTCCACTGTACCCAAAGGCGACAATCGCCTCTGTCCAGTGTTTCCCTCCCCTCCCCGCCCCTCACGTCCCCTCCACGTTCGCTCCGCCCTTCCCATCCCCTTGCGCCCTTCCTCCTTCCACCTCCCCGCCCCTGCCCTCCCCCGTTCAATCCCCTCCCCTTCCCCCCCCCCCCCCTCGCAAGTCGCGCCTCCACTCCCCTCCCCTCCCCTCCCTCCCCCCTTCTCGCAAGTCTCCCCTCCGCCCGCCCTTCTCGCGGCCCCAGGGGCAGCTCGCCGGGCGTCTCGGTCGTCACCTTCGTCAGCAGCAGCTGGGTCATCCAGGACCAGCAGGGCGGGGGCGAGGGAGGAAGAGAGGACGGCGGAGGGGAAGTGGGGAGATGGCGAAGGGGAGGTGGGCGCAGCTGGGTGCGCTCGCGCCACATCTGACGTCCTGCCCCTCCCGCCCATCCCTTCCCACTGCGCCACATCTCACACCCCACCTCCCCCCCCCCACAGACACACACACAACACACAACACACAACACACAACACACAACACACACACACACGCACTTACACACACACACACTTACATACACTTACACACACACTTACACACACTTACACACACTTACACACACTTACACACATTCACACACACTTACACACACGACACACTACACACATACACATACACATACACATACACATACACATACACATACACATACACATATACACATACACGCATACACATACACACATACACACATACACACATACACACATACACATACACACATACACATACACATACACATACACATACACATGCATATACACATACACATACACATACACATACACATACACATGCACCTGCACCTGCACATGCACATGCACATACACATACGCATACACATACACATACACATACACATACACATACACACACCACACGTCCGAAGCGGTGAATGCACTCAGGAGGTCCTGCTCCCCGTTGCCCCAGGAAGTGGGGGTCGGTCCCAGAGATCCGACGTCGTGATCTTTTCAGTGCGGGGTCCCCAGAAGTCTCGACCCATTCCCCAGGACCGATTCTTCGTCCTGAGTCGTTTTTTCACGGTCCCGAGGGGAGCCTCTTGGGGCCTCCTGGAGCCTCCTGGGGTCTTCTAGGGCCTCCTGAGGCCGCCTGGGGCCTCCTGGGACCTCCTGGGGCCTCCGAACTACATGCGCACACAGAGACACACATCACACCCAACACATCACACGCTAGACAAACATAACACACACACAACACCTACAACGCACAGCAAGCGCGCACAACACAGAGCACACATCACACACACAGCACTCACAATCCTGGGGCCTCCTGGAGCCTCTTCCGGTATCCAAGTCGGGCCTCCTGAGGTTTCCTGGGGGGCCCTGGTACACACATCGCAAGGTGTGGCAACCCTACTTGCGCTCGAGTGCGACCTCGATCTTAGATTCTTCTGCGTTCACCTCCTGCCTCTTACCCTTCTCTTAGGCACGCCCTGGCGGTGCCGCCCCAGCTCCCCCTTCTCCATCTCCGATCCTGCAGTCATGGTGTCTTCCTGCTTCAGACGCCCTTCATTTTTTGTATGTGCCTGGGCACACACGTGCCACTTGTATACATATGTGTGTGTGTGTGTCTGTGTGCGTGTGCGAGAGTGCGTGGCTCGATGGCGACGGGCACATGGTGAGAGCCCTTCGCTCTGAACGCGAGCAGTTTTTGGACAAACAGAAGACCCGAAGATGAGGAGGAGGAGGAGGAGGAGGAGGAGGGGGAGGAGGAGGGGGAAGAGGAGGAGAGGGAGGAGGAACAGAGGAGAAGAGGAGGGAGAACACAGAATGAGGAGGAGGAGGAGGAGGAGAAGGAGGAGGAGAGGACGAGGAGGAGGAGAAGGAGGAGGAGGAGGAAGAGGAGGAGAAGGGAGGACGAGGAAAAAGAGGATGAGGAGGAGGACAGAGGAGAAGAGGAAGGAGGAGTGAAGAGAGAAGGAGAACAGAGGAGGAGAGGAGGAGGAGGAGGAGGAGGAGGAGAGGAAAGGAGGAGGAGAAGCAGGAGGAGAGGAGGAGGAGGAAGGAGGAGGAGGAGAAGCAAGGGAGGAACGATGAGGAGGAGGAGGAGGAGGAGGAGGACGAGGAAGCTCTTCTTCGCCCCCCCCACCCGAGGAGGCCGACAGGTCCGTGAGGGTGGCGGTGCGCCGCTCGGGGGACTGCGCGCGGGCGCTCCGCGTGCCCTACGAGACGCGCGACGGCACGGCCCGGGGCGGGCAGGACCTCGGCCGCCGCGGCCCTCGGCGCCCTCTCCGACTCCTCCTCCTCCCTCCTCCCCTCCTCCTTCCTGCTACTCCTCATCATCCCTCGTTTTACTCCAAAGGGTCCGCGTTCTCCCCTTCCCCCTCCCCTCACCGCCTCCGCCTCCTCCTCCTCCTCCTCCTCCTCCCCCCTCCGCATCCCTCCTCCTGCTAGCTCGCAGCTCGTTCTCCTCTCCCTCCGCCTACCTCCTCCTACTCCCCTCCTCCATCCTCACAACACCGTCCCCTCCTACCTCCGCATGCGCCGTCATTACATCGTCCCTCACTCCTCAGCATCCTCCTCCTCCTCCCTAAGTATAAGAGAAATAAGAAAAGAAAAAGAATGCATAATAATCAGTGAGGAGAATAAGAAAGAGGTTATAATAAGAATAAGAAGAATAAGTAAGAAGAAGAAGAAGAAGAAAAGAAATAAAAATATGAATAATAAGTGATGAGGATGAAGAAAGAAAGTTATAATAAGAATAATATCGCAGAGTGAAAGACGGCGCCCTCTCTCTCGGGGCGGGGGGGGGCGGAGCCTTGCATCGCTCGGGCCTTGTGCAGCCTGTTCGCGGCGAGGACCCTCTTGCGGAGCAGCGTGGTCCCTCTGGCGGAAAAAAAGTCGTACGCGAACGACTACACGAGAGAAAGGCACGGGGAACGGGCGTCCGAGCGACGGCGAGGGAGGAGGAGGAGGCGGAGGAGGAGGAGGAGGAGGAGGAGGAGGAGAGGGGAGGAGGAGAGGAGGAGGAGGAGGGAGGGGGAGGGGGAGGAGAGGCGGAGGAGGAGGAGGAGGAGGAGGTGGAGGAGGGAGGAGGGAGGAGGAGAGGAGGAGGATTAGGGGAGGAGATAAGGAGGAGACGGGTTGAGGAGCATGTTCCCGGCCCCCGGAAGACCCTCGTGGACACGGCGAGGCTCTGGTGAGCCCACATTAGCAGAGCCGTATCGGAGCAACTCAGCAGCCCAGGTCTGGCTTGACCTCCTCAGGCTCTGGTGGGAGAGTCCTCGGCGGTCTCCATGTCCCGAGGCTTGCTGCATTGCCATTACAATCCTGAGCGCCTTGTGTTCGCTCCCTCCTCCTCCCCCTACTCCCCGTTGTTTCCAATTCGTTTCCCTCCCATCCACCACCGTATCCTCGTCGACTTCCTACTTCTTCTCCTCTCTTTGTCCCCGTCTTCCCCCTCTCTGCAATCGTTCCCTCCCCCTCTCCCCTCTCCCTGGCCTCCTCCGCCGCCTGCGATCTCGCTCAAGCCGGCTCGGTCCAAGTCGTCGCGCCCACAGCGCTTGCGGGCCGCCACCAGGCGGCCTGAGACCTGGACCCCCCGGCGCGCCCGTTGCGCACGATGTTGGCCGAGATGAGCTTAGACGCCCCTCATCCGTCTGCCGGGCCTCGATCGGAGATCGAGGAAACGGAGGAGGGGGAGTAGGAATAGGAGTAGGAGTTGGAAGAAAAGGAGGACGAGGACGAGGACGAGTATGATGATGTTCCTGGTGATGATGATGATGATGATGATGATGATGATGATGATGATGATGATGATGGCGATGATGGCGGCGATGGTGATGGAAGTGGTGATGTTGATGATTGTGCTGGTGATGATGACGACAATGATTACGGCGATGCTGCTGATGATGATGTTGGTGATGATGCTGATGGTGGTGATGATGGCGATGAGGCTGCTGCTGATGATGACGATGAGTATGGTCATGATGATGTTGAGAGTGCTGATGATGCCTACGATGGTTATGTCATGGTGCTGCTGACGGCGACGACGGTGATGACGCTGATGATGATGATCATGTTGGTGCGGCTGATGATGATGATGATGATGATGATGATGATGATGATGATGCTGATGCTGGTGATGGTGATGGTGATGGTGATGAGGATGCAGACGATGCTCGTGATGATGATGCTGATACTACAGATGCTGCTGATGATCAGGATGCTGATTATTACGCTGAGGCTTATGATGATGACGAGGGTGATGACGATGATGTGGGTGATGCTGATGATGCGGATGATGATGATGGTCATGCTGCTGATGATGTTGGTGATGGTGGTGAGGATGGGGGTTGTGATGCTGATGGTGACGATGTTGATGTTGATGATGCTGGTGATGATAACGATGACGATGCTGATGCATCTGTCGTTGATGATGATGATGATGAGGATGCCGATGACGATGATGTTGATGGTGATGCTGATGCTGCTGATGGTGATGTTCATGATGATGAGGAGGAGGCTGTCGATGTTGATGATGATGCTGATGATGAAGATGACGCTGATGATGCTGATGACGATGATGATGATGATGATGATGATGATGATGATGATGATGATGATGATGACGCTGATGATGATGATGATGATGATGATGATGATGCCGATGACGCTGATGATGATGATAATGATCATGATGATGATAAGGATCATGATCATGATGATGATGAGGATGCTGATGATGATTATGATGATGATGATGATGATGCTGATGATGATGATGATGATGGTGATGCCGCTGATGATGAAGATGATGCTGGTGATGATGACGATGATTGTGACGATGCTGATTCACGCTGCTGATGATGAGAAGGCGGAGGTGGAGGAGGAGGAGGTGGAGGAGGACCTTGGACGAGAAGAAGGAGAAGGAGGAGGAGGAGGAGGCCGATCCGCCGATCGGTCGGGATCGGGGTGGTCTGTCGGCCCGCCAGAAGCGGCCCGTTGACGTCGGCGGGGCGCACGTGGCCGACGACAACGGAGAAGTCTGCGGCGGCAGCGACGACGACACGGCGACGGCCCTCAGCGACGACGACACTATGATGACACGGCGGCGACGGCACAACGACGACGACGACGACAACGGCAACGACACGACGGCGAAGACTGCGGCGACGACGTCGACGACGACACGAAGGCAACGACGACGACACGCCGGCAACAACCGACGGCACGACGACGAAGATGGCTGCGGCGACCACGACGACAACGACGACGACGGCCCTGAGCCGATTCGTCGTTAGGAGATGAGCCAGCTGGCGGGGCGCTGCTTGCGGCGCGGCGCCCCCAGGGCGGTGGCGCCCTGCGCCAGGAAGACCTCGGGCGTGGGCTTCGAGGCCTGGGCCGCTGGAGGGCAGCACAGAGACGACGAGGGCGACGACGACGACGAGGAGGACGAGGAGCACGAGGAGGACGAGGAGCACGAGGAGCACGAGGAGCACGAGGAGGACGAGGAGGGCGAGGAGGACGAGGAGGACGGCGAGGACGGCTCTCGGGGGCCGTGCGCGGACCTCGCGAGGTCCCCTCCGGGGGGCCTCGGCGGCGCCCGCCGCCCCCGCGAGGCGCCTCCTCGGAGAGGGCGTCGCGCCGGGCCCCGAAGCCCTGCGGTGCCACCGCGGAGCGCCACGCGGCGGGGCCGCCGCGCCCGTGCGTGGGGGCCCCCCACGAGCGGGTCTGCGGCCACCCTCCGCGGAGGCGAAGGGCACCCACAAGCTCTGCCCCCCCCCCCTCCTCC